AGTTCTCTATCTTGGAGATCTGCGACCGGATCAAAGAGGAATTCCAGTTTCTTCAAGCTCAGTACCACAGGTGAGGGGGCGGGGCGGCCCCCCCGCGGGTGTGAGGGAAAGAGGGGTTCACCCTGGGGACCGGGGAGAGGTCTCCTAGGGCGCGCTGATCAGTGGAGGATGGGGCTTTCGGGTGAAGGGCTGGATCCTAGGGTATCTGAGGAGATAGGGGTGGTGGTGAGGGAGAGGTAAGGTTGCCAGGTGGTAGCACAGGTGAGGTGGGCGAAGGGGCCCTGGCACGGGGAGACCTTGGGTGCCCCGGGAAAGGTGCTGAGGGACGGGGACTTACTTGGAGGTAGGGGAGACTTGTGAGAGCTCTGTGCAATATGGGAGGGGGCAGTGGCCCCCAATACTTTTGGAAACTGGCCCAGAGGGGGTGTGGGTCTCCTGTTGGGGGATGGGCAGGGACCAGCAGGACCCACGGCTTCTCCTTCCCAGTCTCAAGCTGGAATGTGAGAAGCTGGCCAGCGAGAAGACGGAAATGCAGCGACATTATGTCATGGTGAGGGGGGGGATGCCCTGCGTGGAGGGGGGTGGGGGGTGGCTGGGCTGTGGGTGGTAGACCTGGGGCCACCCTCTTTCATGCTCTGTGTAAACTGGGCTGACTTGGTTCCAGGTTCTTAAGAACAATGGACAAGGCTGTCTATCCCCTCTCCTCCCCAGCATGCCCATCTCCGAGGCCTGGGGGTCTTCGGGTACCTCCTACCTGACTCACCTGGCTGAGCCGAAGGAGGAGGCCCTCCAGGCCTTAACTTCTTCCTCTGTGCTACCTTCTGGAGCCCCACAGGGCCTGGGGGTGTCTGTGTCCTGTTCTGAGCACCCCCACCCCCACAGTGGTGTGTAGTAGGGTGGGGCATACCTGGGCTCTCAAGCCACCACTCTGGGTTTTCCTTTGCAGTACTACGAGATGTCATACGGACTGAACATTGAAATGCATAAGCAGGTACCTGGGTGTATGTGTGTGTGTGAAGGTGCTTGGCAGGGATGGTGGGGACCCAGAAACTGGCGGGTGAGACCCAGCACAGTCTGGAGCAAGGGGGTCTTGTCCAGAACTCTCCGGGAAGGGAGATTGGAGTTTGGGGGTACAGATTTTTCACCTCATGAAAGGAAGAAGTCTCAACTTCTGGGGATATTGGTGCCATCCAGAGAGGTGGTTTGGTGGGCAGGGGTCAAGGAGGAGTGTGCATCTGCACGAAACCTGAGCGACCGCGTCGGGAAGGCTGTGGAGGAAGGAGACGTCCGTCACTCTTGGACGGGCTAGCTGGCTGGTCTTGGGACTCATTGTCAGCCCTGAGAATCTGCGGTTTCGAGATGGACTGAGGACCCGAGTGGATCCCCGATGTTCTGTGGTTGTTGTAAAGGTCCTGTGGGATTGGCTGGAAGGTTCTGAGATTCTTCTCAAAGCCTTGACTATAACCGCACGGTTCAGACTGATCCCAATAGACCGCGAGCTTCTGAGATGGTTTTCCAGATTCTAAGATAGACCCATGCTTCTGGGACGGACTGACCTGATGGTCCTGCAGTTTCTGTAGGGACTGTGGTTTCAGAGAGGTTCTGAGATAGGCCTTCTAAATGCCGAGCTGGGCCGCAAGGTTTTGAGACTGTTCCTAAGCTTGTGAGAGGGCTCTCCGGGTTCTGAGGTAGACATGAACATTTGGTGGCTGCAGTCAAGATTCTGAGATGACTCTCAGAACTATTCTGGGACTGGTCTGGCCGTTTTGAACACAGCCTGTTGTTTCTGAGCGCCGCTTGGAGGGGCTGATACAGACCTCTGAAGTACTGAGATTGGTAACAAGGTTCTGAGACCGCCCCTAAGCTGAGGGTGATTTCACAGTTCTGAGATTAACCTCAAGACTCTGAGTCCCTTGATGAACTGATTCCTAACGCGATGGGCATGGGCCCTGAACCCAGGGTTCTAGGATACACTCTGTCTAGCTGAACAGAATCAGTGGGCGGGTCCAAGCATAGGTGACTTCCGGAGGGTGCACTGAAGAGGTGGTGATGTTGGAAGCATGGGCTGCAGGGAGGTCTGCTATGAGACTACTGGTTCTGGTGTACGTGGGAGGGGGCTGTCTGCCCTGAGCGTGGTCATCTGGGTACCCTTGGTGGGGTGAGGGGGCCCAGGGTGAGGCCAGGCTTCTGGTTGGCCCGGCCCTGGGAGCCTGCCTTCTCCCTTCTGGTGGAGGATGGCCAGGTGGGGGAGGGGCTGACAGATTGGGTTCCGGCCTCGCGTCCAGGTCTCCCTGGCAGAGCTTCCTGGACCAGACACCAGCCGGCCAGCAGGGATGGTGTGGGTCTGGTCCATGAGCCAGCCTGGGCCACAGCCGTCCAACACACACAGGCCACGTGGGCACACACAGAACCAACAGCCACTGCCATGATGGGGGTCTCGATGCCCACCCCACAGCTGGCCTATTGGACAGCTCCAGAGGGTCTCCCAGGGCCTCATGGAGCAGCCAGGTCCCCGCTCCAGTCTCCTCCAAGCCATTGGCCAGGCCGCTCTCAGCCGTATGCTTCACCTCCGCACCACTAGGGTGCTGTGTCACACTGGGATATAAAATAGACCCCTGCCTCCACGCGCCCGGCACAGCTGCACTCTGCCGCACACAGCACGCCTCTGACCCTGGAGTCTCTGAGCATGCTTAGACGTGACCACGCCCCTCCTTGCTGCCCACACAGCTTTGGGGCAGACCCTGGTGGAACCCCCTTCCCGATTCTTAGCTGGAATGGGGGCGCTGGGGTGCTTGCCTTTGAATGATCAGTTCCAGGTGGCAGACGAGGCCCAGAGAGGGACTGTGCTCGTTAATTAACTCTGGCACTTCGGCCTGGTAGACAATATGCAAATGAACGCGTGCGGCTGTGTGTGTATCAATAAACCTTTATTCACAACAGCAGTACAGACCCGACTGGCAGCTCAGTCGGGTCTCGAACCCGGGACTCTGGGTGCTGGCTCCTTTCATTGTGTATCTCAGGAGCCCAGTGCATCCAAACCCCCAGCTTCTGGCTGTCACCTGACAAGCGTCCCTCCCTAGACCTGGGTCTTCCCGCTGCCCTGGGAAGTTCCATCTTTAGCCCCACTGGCTGCTAGTGTCTGTCCTTTGGCCCAAGCCTGGCTGGCTTCAGCGTTCCCATTTGCACCTGTGGTTAAGAACCCCTCACCCCAAAGCCCTGCAGGTGTTTGTCACCCCCCCTCCCCTGCTGGGAGTTGAGGCGCTGGTGGGGGAGAAAGGGAGTGTTCCTGGGGAGGGGAGTTCCCACTCCAGCTTGTGTCCCTTTGTTCCTGCCAGGCTGAGATTGTCAAACGCCTCAGTGGGATCTGTGCTCAGATTGTCCCCTTCCTGACCCAGGAGGTGAGTGGACCCTTGGGGGGCTAGGGGGAGGGAACCGGAAGGGGCACACGCTGGCTCCGGATCAGTTGGCTAGGCCAGGTGCCCCAGGGTCCAGATGGTACAGGGGCTGTACTGATGGATAACAAGGTGTTTGTTGTTTGCTATGTGCCCTTGAGCAAGCCACTGGCCCTCTCTGTGCTTCTCTCTCTCTGTCTCTCTCTCTCTCTCAACACATGGAAACATTCAGCCAGTACAGCACCACCGCCCACATTTGTAATTCGCCGGCATCAGGGGACATTGTTCCTGTTCTGTCACTGTCACCTTGCTGGCTTTCCTTTTTCAAAATTATCCCACCCTCCCTCGTGAAGATAAGCAACCACCCCCACCCCCACTCCACCCCTGGCCCTCTCCTCCTCAGCCCTGGCCACCACTCATCACCTCTGCCTCCTCCCGCTCTGTTTATTTCGTAGGCGGGAGATCAGTCCCTGTTGGTCCTCTGGAGAGAGACCGCTTATTCTGTTCTGCCCCATGCTTTCAAGGTTCCTCCTCTGAGTGGTGGCCTGGGCCGGGGCTTCAGCCCTCTTTCAGGCTGGGCACCATCTGTGACTGGGCCCTTGGGTAGTTTCCATTTTCCGGCTTTTGTGAACAGGTTTCCACGAGCCTGGGGGTCCAGGGTTCTGTAAGGGGGCATGCTGCGCTTCCCCCGGCTCTCTGCCTCTTGGTGGAAACGCTAGGCCGTGTGGGTGCCCTGGTGGCATACTGAGAGATGCTGCAAGGTCGGCAGTTCAGATTCACCAGCCCCTCCGCGGAGAGTGATGAGGCTGTCTGCTCCCGTAAAGACTGACAGCCCTCGGGGAGGAGACGAGCCAGTCAGGGTGCAATGTAGCAACGATGAGAAATACAACTTTCCTCTAGTTCCTAAATGCTTCCTCC